TTTACAGATCTTCTTTATGCACCAACAGCTTGTAACACTCCAAAGAGAAAGGAAAAATTGAAATCGCATCATATGACCCCTTTAAAGATCTTTAACAGACATCTTGCAGATGTACGTGTGCTATCTGGGAAGAGTTTTTCCCATTTACTGAATGTTATTCTTCTAGTTATTTAACTCTAGTGGCTAAAGAAGTGGAAGTCTTGCACATTCACAGGAAATAGCTTACTTCCGCGGTGAAATATAAGGTGGGTAAAGCGATAGAAGCGATTTTTCACTTACAACTCCTCTTGTCGATAACCTAAAGGATTCCTAAAGCTGTAGGTGGTGGACAGCGAGATGCCGACAATAACAGCAGGCAGACCTAGACATATTATATATGAATGTGATTTTTCAGAATGATTGTTATAAATGATATGATTACCCTCATGCTCCTTTCTCATTATATATCTTGAGATTAGGCTACTTTTGCTCACTTAAAAGTTAATCTTTAATAATAACAATAAATTAATAACAGTTAAATGTCATCTTCAGCTAATCTCAAAAAGAATATCCATTTCCATACTGTACTTTATAATGTTGTGAAGCCTAAATTCACATATAGCATTTAAAATGATCGTTTATTTACTGTTATAGTAGTATATTAACTAAATAGTATAGAATTTTAATATTAACATACAATAACATGAAATCAGTATCAGTCAGAATTTTACTATTAAATATAAACTATGTATGCAAACAGAATCAAACTGTCATGACTTTTAATATCAGTGAGTTTAAATGTACCCCAGCCGACTGTCATGGCGATGGTGCGGAAAGCTCGAGGTGGACCGCTGAGGGCATTTCGAATGAGGAAAAACACATGAGCCGCATACAGGATGTTCCAGGCAAACGTGGCCAGCAGGAAGTACTGCAACAGAGCCGTGATTGCTGTACAAGGACCCTGATCGACTTTCTCCTGCAAATCTGAAGAAGGAATAACGTTCTGCTCTGAAACAGATGCCTTTGAGCTCTGGACCGGGTTGTTGATCCCAAAAATGAAGAGCAGGTAGTAGGTGGTCATACACAAACAGATGTTCACCAAGAGCACAGTGGAGTTGGCTCCTCTCTGTTTCCTGTAGAGTTTATGAAAAAATACATCAAGAGAATTAATATAAAAAAATAAATACACTTTCATTTTGACTGTTCCACAAACCAGTTCTATAGAATTACTATTAGTTTGGTGGACATGATAAAATAGAAATACATGATCTGCAATAAATGTTGCAAAAAATCAGTATTTTTGTCTTTCCAGTAAAAAAATATTATAGATGCACCGATAATAAATTCTGGGCAGTATGCTGATAATTATTAGCTTTTTATGGTGAATAACCGACACATGAACAATAAAAAAAATTCTATACTATTTTGTCCAAATAAATGAAAAAAAAGGTCAATTTAAGCATCACAACATTATATTGTACAGTATGATTATGACAAAAATCATAATTGTCAATTATTCCCTTGAAACTGTAATTGCGATTATTAATTACGATGATCACAATTTGCATGAAATGATGTTTTGAATAGCGTTATGCCACTGTTTGAAGGAACTGCATGCCTTATTTTTATATGAAAATAACCAAGCTGAAAACACTCAAACTGAAAAACTGTTATTGCTTTTCTATAGTATTAAGCCTCAAATGTCAACTATACATTGGATTGGTTTCTTCTTTAAATTAAAAAGTAAAAATATGCATGATATTATAATGTTATACTAAAACTAAATGAAAACAATGGAAGGAAAAAAAACATCTTAAAGGGATAGTTCACCCAAAAATGAAAATTTGATGTTTATCTGCCTTCCCCATAATTGTAATTGCGATTAGAAATTTGATTAATTGTGCAGCCCTAAATCACAGTATACTGTACAATGACAGAATTAATTTACCATGGTACAGTACAGTAAAGGTCAGTTTATTCTTAAATGTATCCAGTGCATTTACCTGGTCTTAATTTGATAAACTGCGGTGAGAACCAAACCCACAATAGACAGACTGCATCCCACAATGCTGATCCAGTTTAACGCTTCAGAATAAGTGTAGTCTGCTCTAAAGCTCTACAAAGAGAGAGAAATCTCGATAATAAATATATACAGTTCACCTACATTCACCAAACATTAAAGGGGTCATATGATGCGATTTAAATTTTTACTTTCTCTTTGGAGTGTTACAAGCTCTTGGTGCATAAAGAAGATCTGTAAA